AAGCTGAGTTGTTCCCATATTATTTATTGCAAGTGAGCTCCAGCTCAAAAACTCAAGAACCTTCAAAACAACTGGTGCAATAGAATGAAACCTCTGGTCAAAGTCTATTCAAGTTTGGGAGTCTTGCTTATCCTTTGGTTGCATAAGGAAAGATTTGTGATGGTTCTCTTTTCTTTTGTTTTTTTGTATACATCCTTACCCTTATTATATCATAAAAACCATCTACATTAATATCACCATATTTGCTAAACAAAATACTTTCCAAAAAACACACTCAAATAAGTTATAGGATCTAATATTTGTTTTAAGTTAACCTTCACACATAATTCTACAGTAGCAATATTTGCTGTGCCATTTCAAGATTTTCAAAAAAGTCTACTCAAAAAAACTGAAATCAGTTTACTTTCTTCAAATGATCATTGCTCTTCAATTATTCAATCAGATTTCGTCAAAACAACAAAGCAAAAATCAAACTTGTTCAAACCGGTTTTTCAGTACAACAACAATAACAATAACAACAACAATAACTCCAAACAACATCAACTACACTATAATTTTTTTGTCATCAAAGCACATGCAAACAATGAAAAAACTTAGTAAACTTCGGTTTTTACAATCAAACAAGGAGTTTCTCTGGATACATCAGCTTTACTGTCAAAAATCTTATTGTTTATTTGATTTAGTTTCAGCTCTAGTTATTTTATTGTTATATATATTTTTATTTTTCTTATATTCAAAAAATCAAAAGATTTCATCAAACAATCTTTCAAGTAGGTAGGCATAGCCACTACTCCCATATTTGCCATTTTAATATTGTTTTTGAAATTTTTTATAATATTAGTTAAATATGGTACAAGTAGGCAAGCTAGCATTTAACTTGTTATATGCAATGTACCCAAAAAATGTTGTTTCTTTCATGATGTATACCTTGATATATACAAATTAAATAAAGAGATGATGTTTACCTACTGGAATAACCTCCCCAAAAAATAAATAAATAAATATAGTATTTGTTTTAAATTCATGCATTAACTTTAAAAATAAAAAATAATTGAATAATTAAATGATAATATATATATATATATTACTTATAAATAAATGTTTTAAAATATTTATTAATTATTGAATATCGATTTATTTGTTGAAAATAAATAAATGATAATAATTTTTTTTTACTTATAATAAATGTTTTAAAATATTTATTAATTATTTAATATCGATTTATTTGCTGAAAATAAATATTGATAATATGTTATGTTGAAATTTAATATATTTTTTTTTAAAAAATATCTAGTTATAAAAAAACAAAACAAAAAAAAAATTCTTTTAAATAATTTTATTGTTTAGTTTTTATTAATTAAATTTAGATCTTTAATATTTAAATATTTTTACGATTTTTTATGATTTTAATATACTGTAAATTATAATTGTTATTTATAATATGTTTTAATCTATTCAAAAAAAAAAGATTTATATCGATATTTTATAAAAATACCAATAATTACGATAATTGTTCTATACAAAACTCAATTGTCTAATTAGAGTAAGTATATAGAAGGTTCGATGTATTGTAAATCGATTTTGGAAAACAAATTATGACTTTTATTTTCTTAGATATTACGTAAATGGAAATAATGACTTTAATTTTGTTAAAATATTGCGTAAATGGCAAACATGTTTGGATTCTATTATGCTCGGCTAATTTTCGGCAAACATTGTATCACCGCTGACGAAACAAATTCTTGGATTTTGGAACTCGGATGTTACATGTCATAATTTAGCCGAGTTCTAGTAAAATTTTACTATAAAAGGGCGAAATGAGACCGCTGGCTAAAAAATCAAAAAAATTCAAATTCTCTCTTACACAAAAGACTTGGAAACAAGAAAACTTACAAAGGGAAATAAAAAAGAATATAAACACAGAAATACAACAAATAATATGGGAACAACTCAGCTTAACAGCGAATTCGGCGAAGAATTCGCCGATAAAAAAGTTCATCTCGAAAGTGAGGTAGATCAAACTACTGACAATCAGGAAAGTGGAAGTGAATCGGAACCAGAAGTTTACTTTTTGTTCTCGCATCGTGGTAGAAAACACGATCCTCGTGGCGATAAAAGGATGGGCTTGTTTGGGCCGTTTAGTCCTCGTGGTCCCAAAGGTTTTGGTTTCCCTTTTCACGATGAACCACGTAGAATTGATCGTCATCCTCATGAAAGACCTCATGACGCAAGTAATGGACGTCGTATCCCCCCTCACGACCGTGGATTTAGACACAGACCCCATGCGCGCAACCCCGAAAAGGACGGGTTCACTGAAGCAATTGAGGGTGAACGCGGTCATAGTCCTCACAGAGGTATGCGTAGATTTGGCCCTGGCCCTCATGGAAAGCGCGGATCTTCTTTAGAAAGTGATTCCGAATTTCATCGTGAACCTAGACATCATGGTGATCATATTCGTCGTCCTCATGGTTTTGGCCCTCGTAAACATAGATACGGGCCTCGAAACGATTCTTGCGTTAGCTCCGAGACCGAAGAATATACCCATTTCCCGTCTTACCATCTTCCTCGGGAACGTAGACACAGATCTCGGGGTGGTCCTCGTGACGGATTTGAAAGCGAAGAACAAATTCATCTTCCTCGGGAACGTAGACACCGATCTCGTGACGGATTTGAAGGCGAAGAACAAATTCATTTTCCTCGGGAACATGGACACAGACATCGAGGTGGTCCTCATAACAAATTAGAAATTGAAGAGCTTATTCATCATCTTTTCCAGGATTATCATCACCGTGGGCACGGTATCGGTCCTCGTGGAAGATTCGAAGCCGAAGAGAATGCAAAACACAGTAATAGGAATTCAGGATCTCACAAATATGGTCATGGACCTCATCGAAGATTTGAGGCTGAAGGAAGCGTGAAAGAATTTCATGGTAAACATGAGCATCGTGATGGACACCCTTCTCTTGGAAATGAACATGGGCGCAGAGGTGAGCGTGGACCCCGCGGTATTTCTTCACGAGGACGTAAACACACCAGACTTGATAGGAAATCGGGATATTTTTCTAATAATTCCGAACATCGTGATCCTCATAGAAATGGATTTGGTCCCAGTGACAGCCGTAAATTTGAACATGGCAGACATAGACCTGATGCAGAACATAAAATAAGACACCACCGTGGTAGTCACGAATTTGAACGCGCTAGAAACGGACCTGAATCACACTACGTGCACGAAGCTTTTAAAAATAATCGAGGTGGCTTCGACCTTCGAGGAAGACATAAGTTAGAAAACGCTAGACCACATTTGCATCGTCATGTACCTGGGCATAGAATACGTCAAGCTCCCCGTTTCCCTCATCGTTACCCTCATCATCATCATCATCCTCATCGTCACCCTAGTAAGCCGCTTACTCCCGAAGAACTTGCGGAAAAGATTGCACTCTTAAACTCGATGGGTTTTCCGTCCGAAAATAATGCTCATTATGAGGAATTGTTGAAAAAATTTAATGGAAGAATTGGTCGTGTGGTTGAAATTTTACTCTGTGAACAGAAAAAGGAAAAGGGTAAAGACAAAGAAAATGGCGATGAAGATGATGGGAATGAGGACAGTGGAAATGAAGGCAGTGAAAATGAAGGGGATGAAGAGAATGGTGACGAGAATAATAAAACGCTGGAAGGTTATGACATTGTTGGGGAGAGAGCTGACAACACTCAGATTTAAAACGTTAGGAGCATTTGCATTTTTTAATATATTTGAATAGTAACTTTTATAACCATATTTGAATATATTTGAATAGTAAACTTTTATAAACATATAACTCAATAATAAAAAAAAAATACGAAAAAAAAAGTTTATAAATATTATCCGGTTTCGTGTAAATTGCCTTGATTTTATATTTATTACTTGAAATTTTAAAATTGTTTTAAAAAATATTGCATGATACTTTAAATTGCTAAAATGTTATTTATTGTCTCAGAAATGTTGAATCTTCATCTAATGATAGTAATTGTCCAATTGTTCTGCTAAGATTTTCTCTGAATGTTTTACGTCAATGGAAAAAAGTTATCTAATTTACAAATACTTTACTGTACAAACTATCAACACTTAAGTAAAAAAAAAATGAATTCAATTTATTAGTATATTGTAACTGGTACATCTTGAAGGGTCTTAGTGATGACACATTAACTCAAAGCCATAAATGACTTCAAAGAAGTACTAATTATTTTGTTACAGTATAATCAATCTTAAAATTCGATCCAATGATATTCTATCTCTAGTATCTAAAATAACCATTAAGAAAAGATTTAATACTCAAACAATGACCAATTATTATTAAATATTTTTTTCTTATAAGATATCTGACACATCTTTCCCTGGTTCAAAGACATGTTTATTAGGTGTTCAGGTATTCATAGCCTCATTGCTTAAATACAAAAGTGTGTATTTTGACTTTTTTTTTTTTTGTAGATAAACATCATTTTTTTATTTGGTTTGTATATAGCAAGGTATACATTGTAAAAGAAACAATATCTTTCATATGTTAATACAATGAGTTAAATGCTAGCTTGCTTACAATAACCATATACTGTAACTAATATTGAAAAGAAAATTTAAAACAATATATCTTGCCATATGATACTGAACAGCTATGAATATCTACTCAATATTAGGAAGAATAGTACTTGATAAAGATGAAATTAAATTTTGAATACATTTGAAAGAATTATAATTACACTGGATAAAAGAGTTAGTAATTATTGTAAGAAGATCAATAATGATTTTATTTTGAGTGATATTAGAGTGTAAGTTTTCTGTAGGATCAGTATAATTTTTTTTTGATCTGATTGTATGTATTTTGACATTTTATGTATTCATATATTATAATACAGATATTAATTAAAACTCATCACTAGTTCAAATTATAGCCAATTAAATTCAAATTTTGTTAATTTATATTTTTTAACTATATAAGAAATATTATTTGATTTTTTATTATTAAGAAACAAAACCAAATTTTAATAATACTTTTAACTTATTATTTAAAAATAATTTGTTTACAGATAAAAGTTGTTTTTAACCTTATAACTTTTTTACTAGCAAAAATTATATTTTTAAAGAAAGTATAATATAATGTTACTAATATATTTATGAGTTTTTTAATAAAAGAAAAATATTTTTTTATTTAAATAATTAAAAGATCATTATATATTGTATATATATAATTTTTATTTATTATTTATTTTTATTTTTTTATTTTATTTATTTATTTTTTATTTTTTTAAATGCTAAATTGGAAATTTAATCATGTTTTCAAATAAATGCTAAATCGTAACCTTCAATTTTCGATTTCTGAAATATATACCAGAAATAAAATATGATTATAGTACAGAAATTTCACTACAAATTTATTTGCTAATAACATCCATATCTAAAGCATATACAAAGTAAAACATACATCATTGCGAATATATTAAGAGGAATTTGGATGGAAATAAAGTATTTAGGTGTGATGGGTGTGATGGGTGTGGACTTCTGATTAATAAGATCTAAGTGGCACCCAGGAAATTTTTCGCTTGTTGGTTATGTAACATATGATTGATTCAGGATCAAATTTCCTGTTGCATGTATGTATTATGTTTAATTACGTTAGAAATATTGTACTTAGCTTACAAATATTTGTTTTTTTATGGTACATGTAGCATGTCACATCATGAAGAAAATTAGATAAAAAATAATTTATCATAAATCTTAAATATAAAGCAACGTGCCATATCTTCTAGTAACATTAAAACTTTATCAAATAAAATATTTTATTTTTTATTTGCTTTATTTTTTTCCGATTTTTGATTTCTGGCTTTTGAATTTCCATATATCGGAAACAAAGTCCAAAATTTACTTAAACAATATAAATTACTACAGTACGGAAATTTCACTCGAAATCATTATAAGCGCACTTGCACAGGTGACGCACAAGCGCTGTACGAGTGACGCATAAAGAACACCCCCTCTGCAACCGTAAATAGCAACTAACCCGCTACACTATGTTAAAACTGCAGACTTATTTCCAGTTAACAATGAACGATCCCCTAGACACTTTAAATCTCATCAGATAACATCAGAAGCAATTATTTATTGAATTATGGATTGGTGAACTCTGAAACCTTACATAAATTGAATGAGATGATAAGTTAATTTACAGTATATCTATCACAGTTCCACTACACACTATTTAAGTAAAATGACGTATATAAAAATTATATTATAATTATGTATATTGGTATTGGGAAAAGCGAAAAATTTAAGTTTTTTTCGCAATTAGGTAACCTTACGCCTACTGTGATTCATCGATCAAATTCCTTACACCTTATCGATCGTATATAAACAAATTCGATAAATTAATACATGTTCTTTGTAGCCCCTGAGACCATATATGCGTTATATAAATTACCTGTTTACGTGTTTAAAAGGCTCTCACTTTTCTTGAAGCTTTCAAATCTATATTTTTACCAAATTTTTTAATTTTTTATACAAACATGTTTTCTGAAAACACTGAAGCTATGAAAAGCTTACTTTATATTTGAAGAAACATAAAAATAAGGCTTCGGTGTTTTCTATGCTGTCATCGAGACACAATCGTTGCTACCGCCTCAGCTATTTCTCACTGGCAGGAGCTCTCTGATTCCTAGGCTACCCGATTCTGTGAAGAAGCAAGAATACTAGATCAAAAAGATTTCCAAAAACACTGATATTTCAGCTACGAAAAATTTACATCATATTTGAAGGAACACAAATAGGTCTTCGGGATTTCCTATGCTGCCATCGAGACACAATGGTTGCTACTGCTTCAGCTACTTCTCGCTGGCAGGAGCTCTGATTCCTGGGCCACCCGATTCTGTGAAGAAGCAAGAATATTAGATCAAAATGATTTTAATATTTTAAAAGAGCAGGTATGTTTTTTTTTTATTTTCACAAAGTTAAGGTGGACCGAGGCCTGAACTACTGAGTACGACAGCTTGGTAATTACTTCAAGTCCTCTATTCAGACGCCCAACCTTGTCATTAATAAAGATCTGCTAATTTTGGAGTTGGTATTTTCTTTTGGGGCATTCCGTTTGTCATCTGATTTCTCTATGCTATAGGGTTCACCCTAAATTATTTGATTTTGAAATGTTCCCTTTATCACTAAATAGAAAATTACACACTGTTAACAAATACATTTCTTATTGCAGGTTAATTTAGAAATGACACTATGCAAGAATTATTTAATTATTTGAAGCAGAAATATTGCACCTTCAACGCAAACTATATGAAATCTGAGAAAATGGAAAAAAGCAAATCCAAGTAACCAGGGAGATTTAGTTGATGAAAGATTGATTATTATATTCTAATTTTTGACGATGGTTACCACTAATGAAGATCTTGATGATTATGATATTCTAATGTTTAACAATGGTGACCAAAATATTAATGATGATGATTAATAACATCCTCATCTCCAGATATCATCATCAGCAGTAAAAACGATATCATCATCATCACAAGCGTCATCATCACAGGCTTCACCATCACCTACAGTAGCAACGCCATCATCACCTGCAGTAGTAGCAACGGTAGTAATAACCTTATCATCACAAGCATCGTCATCACCTACAGTAGCAACGCCATCATCACCTGCAGTAGTAGCAATGGTAGTAGTAACCTTATCATCACCTGCAGCATTATCATCGCCAGTAGCAACAAAAGCACCATCTGTATTATACAACCTTTGAAGCAAAAGACCAATAAATCATAATTATGGTCCTGCAACCAAAAAACATAAAAAAAATAAATCATCACCGTTACCACTACCATCAAGACAAGCAGAGATGGGTAATTCTTTTTGAAGGCGGACAGGGATTTTTCTAAAAATAAGTGACAGGGTGGCAGTTCTCCTTACCTCGCTTATACAACAGTGTACATCACCTATGCAGCATTACCGTGCAGGTGAATTTGTGTGAAATTTCCGAATCATAAAATTAATCACATGGCATACTTATTGTCGGGTAGTTAAATCGCGAAAATCGTCTCGAACTGTATAAAAGTTTTGCGGAACTGACATTACTTAAAATTATAAATATAGATTTATATAATTTTTATTAATAAAAATTTAAAATATTATAAATAAATATTAAAATAAATATAATTTTATTAATTAAAAAATATTCTTTACAAAAATTAAAATATATATATATTTTTTTTTATTTAAAATTTTTTATTTATTTTATAGAATTTCTATAAATTTAACTTATTATCTAAAAATACTACAGTAAAATAATTATTAATAACAATCATTTATAAATAAATATATATATATATTTAATTGGATTTGTAAGATATGAGCTTCTTTTTCTTTTGTTAGTTAATTTTTCATTATCATTTTGAATTGTGTCTTGAAAAATCTACAGAAAACATTTGCAATGTCAAGTTGCAATAACAAAGGTTGGTTTGGGCGAGGATCGTTATAATCATATAATCAACACAATGGTAAAAGCGTAGAGTATCAACAACCTTTGATGAAGACAATATAAGTATTGGAAATGTTCTCCGTTAATGAGTAGAACATCCGATAATCATAAAACAGGCTGATTTATCAAGAGAGTTGTTTTTTGTAGGTCTCCTAGTATAAGAATTTATCACACTAAATCTAAGATCAAAACTTGCAGAAATGCGTTCCTTTTTTTTTTTTAGTGATACGAAAAGAATCTTACTTAAAGAGGTACCGAATAACCATGGCGCGCCTCGAGTAGAGAAAAACCATATTCGTTTTCAGTGCTATGCGAAATCTGCTAAATAGTATTGACAGATTTGCCGTTTACCCTTACGTATAAATGGTTTATTACTGATTCTGTTTGGTATCTAAAATTAAATATCACTATTTTAAGATTCGCAGATAAAATAAACGCATATATATATTTATATAAAAATATGTTCATGTGTTTGTTTCGTTTTTAAAATAAAATAAATATATATAAATGCATCTACATCCTTAAAACAGACGAGAAAAATAATTCAAAAAGAATTGATTTCAAAAGTTTTATCGCGGAAAAAATCTCTACAAATCAGACGGTTATAATCTACCAAAGCCAACCTTTCGGCTTTCCATGTCTAACTACTTGATCATTCTTTTTACTCCATATTAGCTCCCTTGTTCTTTGTTCTTTATCAACCTCTTCAACTCTCTCGCCAACATTATCCAACAACTCATCAAATCCTTCTTCATTAACAATCTCTTCAAAGATGTTGAGCAAAATTTTTGAATCAGCCCTTACATTCTGTTCATCATCAATCATTATAATATTATCGTGATCCATCATTTCTATCCACTTTGGATTTCCGGTAACAACTCTACAATCCCTTAATGATAACGTTTTTGTTGGAGACTTTACTAGGGCCCTGATCAATTTCCAAGCACAGAATGCATATTTTTGATCGTCAAATGCTGACTCTTCGAAATCCGGGATAAGTCCGATTCTGTTGGTTATCCAATGTCTTTCCTCGGTCTCAAGAATATCCACGGTTTCTAACAATTATAAAGTTATGTTAATTAACTTTCAAATTTTTAACTAAAAATTTTGGGTTTTCTTACTCATTATATCTTTCTCCTTGCATAATCTATTAATATATGATAGACGTCCGCCGATACGTTCAACAACTATCTTTTCCAAAAGTTCATCAGACTCGTGGCCATTACGTTTTTCTTTAAGTAATTTTATCGCCTCTTTCGGTTCTAATTCATTCATCCTAATAACTTCCATGCGAGATGCATCCCTCTCTATAAAATCAGAAATTTTTTAAAAAAAATGTTGTTGCTAACATAAAAACTATGCGTTAAAGAATTGGTTAAATAGAAAGTAAAATCTGAATATTTCTTACTCATGCGTTCATAGACTGTATAATCATCGGTGTTAAATACCATAATCACAAGTTTTGCAGCTGCCCATGATTCAGCTCGTTGTTGTAAAAGCTCCAATAAATCCTCACCCTCTTCATCATCTTTAAATGCATGGATATTATTAATAACCATAACTAATGGTCGACCCCGTCGTTTTCTATATTTAATTGCCACAGATTCTACCATATTGAGGGCCTTTTCTACATCAAGCAATGCAGAACCTTCAAATGCGAAAAAAATTTTGTTATAGAGGTAATACATAAAATATGTTATAAATTACATGCAAAACTATTAAAAGTTTCCAAGAATTATTACCTCTTTCTGGCGCTTCTCTCGCAAATAACTGGCCCACATAATCTTCTCTATAAGTATATCTTAAAGCCTTACCCAATCTAGTTTTGAATATTTCACTATCCGAGTGGGCTTCAGTAAATACAACACCATAATGATTTATTTTCTCCATCGCGATTAATACAGATTGCGTTTTTCCTGTGCCCCTCTCTCCTACAAGTAGAAAGTATTTTTCATCCCCTTTTCCTGCAATAACATTATTAATCTTTTCTTGTTCCTCTCTTGCAAAATGTTTTTCGTTTGTTCTGGATTTCAATAATGGGGCGTGATGAGTAAATGCCAATTGAACTTTATGTATTTCGTTCCACTCGTACCTGTGTGTATTGGACACGAAAGAGATCATGATCATCAGTATCGATATTTTTCATAATTTACAATGACCAAAATGAATTTATCGGAAACACTTACCAAAGTTGGTAGAATACACCACCAAGTCCAACCGCGGCCAGACCCATCACTGTTGTTAAAACTGCATCCATTACACGGGGGGAGAGCCATTCTTTCTTTTTCTTGCTACCACCTGGTGATCCACTCGACTTTTTTTTCGGTTCATTTTCATCGTCTAATGCAGTTTCAGCAGATTTCTCTACGATAGGTTGAAATGGGTCTGAAAAGTTTTTTGACATCTATAAATAAAAGGAATTTTATAAATGTTGAATGATGCACTGGTCGATAATTACCGGGAAATGGATCCCAAACTCCGGCGGCATTAGTATCCTGATTTAAAAATCTTTTCTGCAAGATGTAACAATTCCACAAATTTGACCTAACGTTTCTTGTTCTTTCTATATATGCCTTAGTCATATGACTATGCATCACGTTTGTCCTATTATTGGCATTATAATTTATATATCTACAACCTCTATTTACTTCCAAATTCACATTTCTTATAACGAATTGCGTATAATAACTATTCAATTTCGACTTTATGATGGTAGTCCTATTAATTATATGCATCTCGAAGTCGAGAAGGGTGAACGCAGATACAACATTAATTTATATTGATTGCGCATACCAAATGTGGTAACTATAAATGCAGCTTTCCCAGATTTGGTTATCACGTGTAAATTAGGGTTTCAAGTGATTACGTATTTATTTCAAAAATTTTTATTTGTTTTATTTTATTTGTTTATTTTATTTTTATTTATTTATTTATATACAGTATGGGACACTCACTTTTGAAAAAAAATTTTTTATTATTTTTATCTATAACTAAAAAAATTACTAATTAATTATTATAAACTTTATATAATATATATTTTTATGAATATAATAAAGAAGTTTATTTAAGAAATTTTTTTGATTTTAATATTATAATTTTATAAAATTTTAATTTAAAATCAAAAAGATTTTATAAAAAATTGATTTTAAAAAAATAAAAAAACTAAATAATAAAAATAATTTAAAATAAACTTAATATATAAAATCACTAAATAAAAATATATAAAATTGTAAAATTGTAATTTTATTAATTAAAAATTTTGATTTGAAAATAAGAAATTTTGAAAAATTTATATTAAAACTAGATTTTTATAATTTTAAAAATATAAATTATAAAAAAATTTTAATTATATTATTTAAACATTATAAATAATATTTTATAAATTTTTCATATATTAAAAAAAATTTTTTTAATTTTTAATTAATTCTTTAAAAATATTTGATATAATAAAAAAATTTTTTTTTCTATCTATAAAATATATATAAATTTATATATAAATTTTATAATGAATTTTTTAAAATAATTTTTTTTAACTTTAAAACAAAATTTTGCAATAAATTTATTAATAA